ATATATATATATATATATATATATATAATGGGAAAAGATTCTTGTATTCTTGTTTGACAATTTAAGCACTAGAACAAGCGTGAGGTGAGTTTTTCTCATGTGCACTATCAATTGCGTAACCCGTTGCCTTTCACATATTTTCCTTCGTTTAGGTACGTGCCACATTGGATAGCGCTAGGCAGACATCCACCCAATTCAACGGTGATCTGTTGGATACAATCAGTAGTGACGAAATTAAACAACTGAATGCGTTCACCAACACCAGCCCACAGCTTGCCCTGGAGGCGGCGAAACAATCGGACGAGCGGCGGGCACATGGTATGATTGGATCGTTCATGTTTTTTTGTGTGTATATCGTTCCTCACTCCTACCTCAATCGCCTTGGTTCACAATCCAATCGCCTATCGGAAACTGCAGGGGCTGCCAAGGGTCGCTTAGATGGGGTGCCGATCGTTGTAAAGGACAACTTCTGTGTACAGCGGACAACCACTACTTGCGCTTCTCGAATGCTAAAAGGTAGACAGTAGTTGTTGGTTGTCATTTGTATGCCATCTGTACATACAGAGCGATCTGTCGTTCATCTTTCGTTTGCAAAGTCAGGGGGTTGGTATTCACCGGACCTCTGGTACGGTGGTAGATGTACGTAGTCATACTGACTAGCCAAACAGATAGGTAGCTGATAAAAAACTTGTCGTACTGCTGCATCACGGCCAGCTGCCAGGATCGAATTGTTAGCTAGACTTCGCTGTACTATGTTGGTTTCAAACGCGTGATACTGATTGCAAGCACCTATGTGTATCTTTGTACCTAGTGTTCGTACTCATGGTAATTCCACCACGATGAATATGATCTAATGATTGTACACTGCCCTTTCATAGACTTCGCCGCACCATATACTGCTACTGCGGTGGATCGCTTGCTTAAAGAGGGAGCCGTCCTCCTTGGAAAGGCTAATATGGATGAATTTGCGATGGGGTACGTACCTGTATATTCTTTGCATATGCGAATGATCGAGCCTCTCAGTTGTGCTAAAATTAGATTTGTATGAGCTCGTAGCAACTAACCTTCGCTGGCTTAGTGCATTGCCCGACTTCGGGATTGGGGTTTGTTGGTGACATGTTTTTCTTAAAGGTATTAACCCGAATTTTACTGCAACAGGGTGATGCTTCGCATATCTGTGGTTACTTTGTTGCGGGCGAATGAGTTGCAGTTTAAATTGGTACACATCAAAGCATTGTTAGCTCGTGATTCCGCAAGGTATTATACATAGACGTCGACATGGATTTTTATTTAATTTCTTGGTATCCTTTAACAGATCTGGCGGTACACACAGTGCTTTTGGGATGACTTACAATCCCTTCAAACCAACGCGCAAAGACTCTCGGCCTGCGGATGATGTATGCCTGTGTATGTTGCTGATCTGTGCGTTATTGCTTTAGGCCAGTTGTATAGATCCACATCTTTTGCTTTCGAGTGTCGATGGAGAGCTTATCTTTGCGTAGACATTGTCGTTATCTGATCAGATGTTAGCTATGGAGGAAATTCCACAGATGCGAAAATCAGCCGCTTGCAACTTGGTTATTCGCGTAGATCTAAATGTTGTAGTACATCTTAACCAACTACCTTCGCAAGTAGATGATGCCTCTTAATGACTCACGCCAATGCCCTTGTCAATCAACCATATGCACGGGTTCTTTTTCGGATCTGCTTCTACAAAAGCGATTCATTTATTCTTATAATTCTACACTGTAGCTTCATATAGCCGGTGGTAGCTCGAGCGGAAGCGCAGCGGCTGTCGCAGCCGGTCTTTGTTGTGGGTATGTCTGCACACTGCAAACGGCCTGCTTGTCTATGCGTGTTTCACGAAAACCTGTCCGTTCGGTTCAAAATGTAATTCAGTCGATTTGTGAGATTTTTATGATATTTTGTGTATTTGTGACTGTTACGATATGTTGTGCAGTCCATAAGCAAGTTTAGTGGTTGTGCTCTCTAGTCGGTTTCGGATTGTAGTTGATTCCTTCGGCAATCGGCCGCTGGCGTATCCAAGTTCTACATGCAACATATAACTATCATACTCAATGTCATATGATTATGATTACGACTAGTTGCCTCATACAAAGAGCACTGTATGAAACCAACACAGACGGAGTACCTCAGGGTACGCGAGGGCGCGATTCCAAAGCGCATATGACTAGGAACCCGAATAGTTATGTTACGTAGTTATAGTTCCGCTGTAACCAGCATACGGTTGGCAGAATTGGTGACCATGTTCAGATTGTGCATTTGAACGGTATGCGATTGCAGCCTCAGGCCACGAGATGCTTGTCGAAATAGCACTCACTCTCATAGTTCAATGATAAACATCAGGGGAGTGTGTTGTATTGATAGTTCTATTTGGGTTTCCACAGCGCGTTGGGAAGCGACACCGGAGGAAGTGTGCGTTTGCCAGCCTCTTATTGCGGCGTGGTGGGGTATAAACCGACCTATGGGCTCGTATCACGCCATGGTCTGGTCTTATATGGCAGTTCACTCGACTGCCCTTCGATTATTACTAGTGTTGTCGAGGATGCCGCTATAATGCTTGGTAAGTATGGTATACATATGAGTGCAAGTCTGTGACCCTTAGACGCCACAAATATACACACAAAGCATATGTCAGAATCCGGCTCGGAACTGCGTGTATGCTCCGGCGAGTAGAGTAAGAAGGTTTGCGATGGCTGATATATTCTGGTACACATGAGCGCATGTCTTACTTGTTAAGTTGTGTTTCGGTCGGATATTTTTGTTCCAGATACCATAAGTGGCGAGGACCCGCTCGATACCATGACCACTGAGGGCGATCACACACCATTTACGTACGCCGAATACAAAGACCAGGTAAGTGTGCATTGCACGCAAGCCTTTCGTGCGAGATCAGAAGGCGTTTGTAATCACAGATACATTACTAAAATCATTTATTTCGCGAGTTTCAGTGGATCTGATGTGGCTGTGGAAATAGAATCGATAGTCATGGGCGTTATACCGTTTGTTTGGCGTTAGCAGAGCAAGTAGTGTACGTTACCAAGTCTAGATATCCACGATAAGGTTGCTGAACATATACCCCCCTGCCCCGGAACCATGCCAGTTTCTGTGCACAGCCTAGTTACAAAGCCTTTTGCCTCCATTATTAGAGAGACACATTCGAGCAGAACGGGTTAGCTGGACTTCGTGTCGGAGTACCCAAGGAGTACTACACCGAGGAAGTGTCTGACGAAGTACTGCGGGTGTGGAGGGAAACTATAGACACACTCGAAGGTAAGCAACTTAATATTAGCAATGCGTTGCATTCCAATGCAGGTTTCGGGCATGCACAGTGCCTCTTGCTACTGTATTTATAGCGGAGGGTTTGTGTTGTTACACTCAATTTATTATGCTAGCCTTCGCCATGTGTTATTTGCTGAGATGTAGTGTGGTTCAGACTCGACTCTTCAGCTATGGCTTGGTATGCATGACACGCTGAATGTATTGTTCCTTTGATTCTGCTGTCACAGGTCTTGGAGCGGAGGTCTGTAGTGTTAGCCTTCCAAACACACGGCACGCTTTGCCTACCTACTACATCCTGGCTCCGGTGAGTGTGTTGTACAGTGCCAAGTGTAGTCGACACGTGTGGAAGAGTATAGCTTGTTCAGTTTTTGGGCGTGATTCTGATACATTCTATGCTGCCCCGGCAAGTGTTCTTGAGTTTTTAGTGTAGATCTGTTAATGAATAGACTTTAGCTCAAGTAGGCTCATCCTGTCGCCCGCGGAAAGTGTTGATCGATGGCATGCACGCCTACATATATAAAGTTCACGCGCATCGGAATCAAGGCCGAGTACGTCATAGTCGAGGATGCCTCCATCAAATCCGCAGGGACAGTCAAAAATATATCTCACCATCGGCCCTTCCTCCTCTCACTCAGGCTGAAGCCTCATCGAACCTGGCTCGATTCGATGGAGTGCAGTATGGGCATCGAGCCGATGCTGACCGGGATAGCTCATTCGTGCACACTCGCGGTGAAGGCTTTGGAGATGTGGTCAAAGCACGAGTTATTCTTGGGACGTTCTGCCTTTCCAGGTGCGTGTTGGTGGTGGGGTTGTTTGCTCAGGTGGTTACACCTTCGTTATGCTGCGCTATTTGGAAAAAGAAGACATTTATGTTATGTCCTGTGATCGCATGTGCACTTCAGCCAATTGTTAGTGTATCTTCTCCGGCGCGGCTTTAAATGGCCGTCCGTGCTTGTTCTCAAATGTACAACGTTCTCACATCTGCACGCAGAGATGTCTTCAAGCACGATTATTACGATCATGCAATGCGGGTTCGCACCAAGATTCGGGATGATTTTGATCGTGTATTCTCGGCTCATACGCAAGGAGAAAATCAAGCCAAAAATTCAGCGGATACCTCCGTCGACAGATCACAGGTTGACTTACTATTGACGGCCGTTGCGTGCGGTACGAGCCCAACCGTGAACGAATGGAACAATTTATCAGGCGCTGACCACAATGCGAACGATGTTTTCACGGTCCCCGCATCCCTGGCTGGTGAGTTCTTTATAATATATATATATATATATACATGTATATATATATATATATATATATATATAGTAGTAGTATATAGTAGAGTAGTAGTAGAGATGTAGAGAGTAGTAGGTAGTAGGTAGTATATAGTAGTATATATATATATATATATATATATATATATATTATATATATATATATATTATATATATATATATATACTTGTGTATATATATACATATATATATATATATATATATATATATATATATAATATGTATTTCTAAATATATATATATATAAATATATATTTATATATATATATATATTTTTTCTTCTAAATATACATATATATTTATATATATATATATATATATATCTATATATATATATATATATTCTATATATATATATATATTCATATGTATAAATATGTATAAATATGTGTATATGTATTCATATATTGGTTTATTTGTTTGAAAAAATCTATGGTCATGTACAAGGTGCCATGATTCATGGGTTATAAATCGACTGTTTTAATATCCAAGTCGGGCTTTCTATTGTCCGTGTTCGTGAATTGTGATTTGCACAATTTCATAGTGGAAAATGTTTCGAGCTATTGTATGCATTTACAACTGTATCGATGTCCTCCATTGACAAGCTTAGGGGCATTTGCCTGATGTATAGTTTGTTTGGTGAACGAGATTTGCACAATCTCCGTTGTGATTTGTAATTTATAAGCTCTGGAACATATTGTGCTTCCCTATAAGGTCTCCCGGCTATCAGCATCCCCATCGGCGAGGACGGGCGTACCGGGATGCCCATCGGAATGCAACTGATAGGGCCAGCACACTCTGACGCCCGTGTGCTCTCAGTGTCGCACGCACTTATGGAGGTAGCTAGACGAGAACGCTGATGCACGCGTATCAGTGTGATGTTGCACATGTGACAAGGCTTGCGTTGAGGGCTGTACAACCTGCGATGTGCCCCTTCCATGTAAGGGAATGTCCACTTGGAATGCACCGCGACTCGGTGATGAGAGGGAATGCGATGTATTTGCGGGCAGAGACTAGTCGGTGTCCGCAGTTCCCGTTGCTGGCACTATCTAATGCATTCGTATCATGGACGACGTTGGTGCCAGTGCTGAAGTAAAGCACATTCAAGTGTAAATGCTTTGAAAGCTATGGCGCTAGTCAGACGTCTCCGGATTCCCGGTAGATTCGATGATGTTCGATGATAAAGGTATGATGGTCTCACACTGCCACATGTGGGCACCAACGATGTCAGGCGAGAAACCAACGCGTAAACAAAAATGCGTACCGGACGCGCTAGAAGACGATTGGCGAATGGATGCACAAAATGATCATTGTGCGTGGTCGATGGTGGGTAGCTATATCGGACTGATATTTCGGTTGAGAGTCTCAGTCCGGTCGAGAGAACGTGAACTTAGTGGACATGCCAATCCCGCCTATCCTGTCGATACAGGCATTACTCTCAACTGTACATTCATCGACAGCCAATCCGCCAACAAATACAATCCTATATCTCCGGGGTTTAACGGAAAGTGTTTGCTAAACTTGGAAGCCATAGTGTAGATGTGTAGATATCTACATTGACGCGGGCGCAGCATTAGTAGGATATGTATTAGATCTACATTGACGCGGGCGCAGCATTAGTAGGATATGTATTACCCTGGTGTTTGCTGTCTATCATGCAGCATTCCGAAATGTCATCGAAATAAATTAGTGCACCAATAACGTATATCGCAGTGAGTCCAGGAGGATAGAGATATCACCGAAGGGATATTCCTATCTTCTAGGAAGGAACAGATATATGGAATAAGGAAAGATCAGCACTTCTATTGACCCCTTCACAATCTGATGAGGCCATTCGATATTTAAAGAAGGGTTCTTGATGCGGTGGAGTAGTGTGGAAAGTCGTCCACTTCTAGAGCGTGTTTAAAATCTTCCAAGATTAATCGAACTAGCTTCTCTTGAAAACTATACATTTAAAATACAACGCGACATGTGATGCAAATCATACGCTAAAAGTAAGTTTTTACTTGCATAACAACGTGTGCTCCTGTACTTTTGGTAGTTCGTGTATACCTAAATAGTATGCGTTTCAGATCACTAAGGCGAGTCCAGTTAAACTATATACGAGGCCGAGAAGGAGAACAAAATGAAAGCGAATACCCTCATTGTACGCCAATGTCTTCTGGGGTGAGTCCAGTCGAGAAGAATGGCGATCCAAACGCACCAGCAGAAGGGAGCGACTCAACCGCCGGCGTTTTTGACGGGCTTTGTTGCTCAGTGCAAAGTCGAACATGCTAGAAAATTCAGTAAAAAAGTATACTTTGTCAGTATGCAAGGTCTGTACAGTATTTGCCCTATATGACGACGTTGCTGGCTGCGGCGGCCATCGCAGGGTACAACTACCTTGGATTTGTGGAATATTTATTAGGGCACCCGAGAGGTACAGAGTACACAGTGTTACCACAGGCGCTAGTCAAGCCAGCGGGAAAAGCCCCCAACTGTGCACGAGGTGAATGAGGATGGCTTGCTTGGCAAAGTGTTGTATAACTTCGGTCACACTGCAAATCCGTGCAATATATATAAGTTATTATCAAGACCAGCCGTTCAATAAAACGGCGGATATAGTAATGAAGTCTCGTTAAATGCCAAAACAATTTACAATCTGTCGCAGCTCACCGGACAAATCAGCAATGAGGTATTATTTGTGCTTTCCATTCGTCACCGATCATTGGCTGATGATTGCCTTTACATTTCAAGTGACACAGTTTCAGGGGCTCAGGAGCACACACTTTCATATATCCAAGAACCTCAATCGAGCCAGCCAGTATAAATTCAGATTGCGTAGATATTGAGCTTTCGATAAGCCCTGTCAATGGATATCAAGGTACAGCTTTCTGAAGAAGGTCGTGTGTTCTTAGTACAATCGTCTTGGTTTGCTCAATCCCTAGCGGCGGGTTAGTAATCTATTATATCGCTATTCAAAGTGCTACGCTCGTTGACATTGAATATGAAACTTCGATCGTGTACCCTTTTTCAAAGCAAGTTGAATATCAAAGCTGCTAGGTTCACCGTATCTAATGCGGGTCGAAGAAAACAAGGTTTATTCCGATTCAACCATCCTCACATCATTCAAAGCGCCTCAGTAATATCACTCGTTGGTTACAGCAAATCCATCGCTTGAAGCAGCGGATGACCGGATCGGAATAATATGAAATAAATGAATTGTGCACCAGTTACATCTCTTGTCGAGCTTCGGGGGGCGTGCAGCCATATGATTTACTCGCAGCTCTATTGACAGAGGATACTCCTTTATAAACAATACAGACACTGCTCGGCTTTGCAGAGATCCTGCATATTCGTACACCGTCGCCATTCCGTGTGGGTCATATGTGCGATGGAAGCTAGCATATCAATTTGATCACACTTCGGGCTTCAAGATACGGCTCATTTGGAATTGAAAAACTATATATCGTGATTCAAGATTTTTCTGATTGCAAATACTTTCCGCCGCAGAATAAACTAGCAAGTTAACGGCACACCTTATAGTACTACGACCTGCATAGCCTGCTACAGGAGACACAGTATCGAATTGGCTACGATTCGAGCATCCAATTTCACTCTGGCAGGCTGAATCTCCTACCATCGATCGCAAATATATGCGCTCCTCCTCGAAGGATGGTTCATTTTCCATCGCCGCTTCCTCCAAAAGTAGTAAGTGCAGATCTTAAAATAATTTTATCTAATGGAGAACCAAGCAATAAGTATCGGACAGCCACTGTCAGAATTGTCGCTTTATGATGCTTCCAATCTGCCTTTCCTGTCTCGTCGTGGTGTCGTTCATCTCATGTGCTGGTTTACGGCCACCCCTGACATACGTTCATGAATTTGAAGTTTTTTCCACCTGGTATTGCTTCTGTAATAACGAGTTCCTATCTGAAAGAGAACCCAGATCCCATCTGACCAAGCAATCATATCGCCGCGTAACTCGTAGTGCTTCCTCGTGGACCTTAAGCATCGTTTTCCCGGATCTCGGACGCGTACTTGATTGACAGAGTTATCCACGGAAAATGTCTATTCGCGGAGATATCTCTGAAATAGAGTACGACTACTGCTACAATTCGGAGTTGGGCTTTTAAACTGCACAACTGGTACACACTCCCCGCTCATTCGTCCTCCCCATCACTTTCGCCCAGATCCTCGCCGTCTTCCTCTTCCGCATCCTCTCCATCTTCCGCATCCACTTCTCCTTCCTCGACCTCGCCCTCTTGGGGATCCTCTACTCCTTCCATATCCTCATCCTCATCCTCCCCCTCATAATCATCATCATCATCATCCTCATCCCGCTCCATCTCATCCGCCCCACTTTCGAATTCATCAGACCCTCCGTCTTCGATGTTCTCACCCCCGTCAGCATGCTCCACAAGATCCCCTCTCGGCCACGCTGCCTTTACATCATGAATCTTGCGAGACTCTTCTGAGTGCTCATTCATACGGTTCCGATATGTATCAGACAACTCACCCTCCTCTCTATTTCCATTGTCACCCTCTCCATCCCCTCGGACAACTGCGTCTCCGTCAGCTGTCGCAGCAGAGTTCTCAGTGGCATATGCACCCGCACGGTCTAAAACAAAGCCTTCAATCGGCTCCGCAATTGCTCCGGTATTCGGAGCTACAGTATCCTTCGCTGCTTTAGCAGCAGCCTTACGGTCAGCTCTAATATTTTTCAAAAGCTTTAATCGTTGATTTTTACTCAGGCTATCTATATTTTCCACTCCATTCGCCTCGAGTATCTTGTTCGCCTTCCTAATCTCTTTCAAATTTTTCCTTTGGGTCTTAGACATGTCCTTAAATGCGACACTGTTGTCCTTATTTGCGCCACTGTTGTCTTTTTTTGCGCCACGGTGGTCACTTTTACTACGTACACTTCCATCGTCTGAGCCACCATCCCAATGTGTATCATCTTGTGCGTAGTCAGAGTCCGAATCTTCGCCGCTGCCGTCATTCAAATTTCGCTGAGCACATGGACAAGCCGTACAATCCTGTGTAATACAAAGAAATGCCGAGGTGTGGGAGTTTAATCTGGAGATTAAAGTTGCTCGTTTGCAAGTAGGTAGATCCAATCTGTGGGTCTCACAACACGAAACGAATACTAGAGTGTGTTTGATGTGTTCTATCGATCACATACCTCATCGTCACACTCGCAGTCCTGGCCACACGAAACATCACAGCCGCACATCAGTTCCTTTAGACCACTCTCTGTTGGCGAACGAGGGAGTATCAGATATCAGACAATACATACTGAAGTGTCAGTATATGAATCAGAGTGACGTTTAGTTTACATCTTGTAGAGAAGGATTTCCAATGGCTGGCCACCTCAAGTCGACAACATAAAAATCATTGATTTGTTATACTACTTTTTAAACGATGTGAGTCGACTCTCAACGGAGTCTCGCTCCATTTATAAGCGTTCACATCTCAGCACAAATTGATGCATACATATATCTAACCTCATAAGCCAACACAGCAGCACACTATACATTGGAATAAGTGGAACACGCACTGTAATACACATCGTTCTAAGGTTAATATATTCTTTCCATATGTAGACTCTGACTAAAAACGGGGGAGCACATACGATTTGTGATCCACCCTTTGAGAGGCTGCTCACCCTCCTCAGGTTTCTCCATTTCTATCTCCTCATCACTTCCGACTATAAAATTCTTCAAATCCGCGCCGTCATCACCTTCGTCGTCCTCGGAGTCCTCTCCGTCTTCTTGGGAGTCACTGTGCCGTGGAACAAATGCAAAGGTTAGCCTAGTTTAGACCCACTAAGCAGTAGTGCAGATATTATACAAGTAATTCTACACACCTCGCGATCTACGAGAAAGAAAAATTTGACTCGGTCACCCTGTATGCAAACATCGCCCAATGGAAGGAGTGAAGTATAAATCTAACCGTTCACTAACAAAAGTTCCTGTCATTGAACCATGCGATAAGCCATTAAAGTTCGCCATTGCACATCGCTTGCACCCCAACTGAGTCTCTTTTGATGCAAGCTCATCATGGAATATGAGAATGGATGAGGAACCTGTCAATGAAATCAAGACGTACATCCATATCTGCAAACCCCAAATTCCCCATTTACCTCATGCTTCCGTACATTTTCTTCACCTGACATATCTGAATCAACACATGCTATGCAACAAGGCGGGATATAGATACAATACATACCTGACACCTAACTCCCGATGGACATCAGACCTATTTTCCAATTCTGGAAATGCAACGCCGCACCCTGCACATTTGTAATCTTCGATCTCAAACAAGCACTCGATACATCTGTATACGTCTGTATAAATCCCATCGGAACAAATCAAGTGCTTTTAGCATATGTTTTATTTGCACGACATTGTCCCTGGAATTTGACCACCGAAATGGCCTGATAAATTCAATTGTCGCTGAAGTCGCGGAGCAACTTGGATATTATCACGCTTCTCAAAAAATTGCAGACCATTAATGTACAATATCATAGTTTGCCACCTGGCGGCTCACAATGGTAGTAACACAACACACTAAGAACACGGTGCGTATAGGTACTCTTTACGCTGTCGATTTGACAAGTTCCGAAATGAGAGAAAATCACATCTAAACGAGCCATTGGTTGCGGAATATGGGCACTTGCCGTCGTGGCATATCCATGATATAAACATACCATCGCCCTTATCGAAGACGTAGCCCTTTCCTTCGTGATCGACAAGCTCTGTCCCTGGCGTGATACTCTTGTATTCATCACTCTTCATAGCTTGTTGAGCTGTTTTCAATCGTGCCGAGTAATTCTTCAGAATGATATCCGCGCACGGCTGAGAGTGTTGACACAAACATACATAATGAGCGATACTCCGTCTTAACAGATACGCCAGATACTCACAGAACAGACTCCTGAAAGCTCCTGCCCTACAAACGAATTAATCTGGAGCGCTTAGAATACACGGTAACAGACCAGGATGGCTACGAAAACTGCAAGGTCAATCAAACCCAAAGCATCAAGACTGGAGCTGTTGTGGGTAGGATGTAGAATATTAAAAGGTATGGGGTATTCTTGCGTTCATGTGGCAGGTGGGCTCCCAACTATGAGACAGTGGGCACTCAGTATCAAGTACGGTTGCGCGTACCTGTTTCCGTAATATGTTGATCCGAGTCTGTAACACCAGGCTGGGTTCTGGTTTCTTGCGTATAGGATTATTGCACTGCTTGCACTGCAAGCCGCGGCCCATTGCTTTTCGCACCTGTTCAAAACGACGACCAGGTGAACGAGATGGCTGAATACAAATAACATCTATATAGCCAATGATTGATAATGATGTGTTCTCTTGACTGTATCTAACTCTGTAGGAAATACAGTAGAGAATTGTATACACCAGTGCTACACCGGCAAGCACAGTGTATAGCTGGCTCGTGACGGCGAAACGAGACAAAACTTCCACATATTTCTACCGTACTTATTTGTAAATTTGTAACATACAACGAATTTTTGTCGCGCACTCCGCCAAAGTCGCATTTACCACATGCCGAGCAGCTTGCACCAATCTGCAAAATTAGTATTTATTACAATCAGGACAAAATTTATAAAATACAAATCTTTTGACAGACAAGACTCGCATATAATGTTTTGAAGCTGTCTACTTGTCCAGCGCCATGGTCAACACTTATTGGCCGGTCTATCACGGCTGAATAATCACGAAGTCTGGTCAACGGGTTAGTGGTACTGAATAGCGATATCTTCTGCCTACACGCATATACATCGGCGCTCGCGCTGGATAAAACACTACGGGTGAGAAGCCATCATGCACTGAGAACAGACCACGGGCAACACTATACATACTCAGGGCTACCAAAACACCTGAACAAGGCGCTGATATACACTGCTCTGCCGTTTGCCTACCACTACAAAACAAAATCCCAAAACGCGATACGGCACATACACTAAAGTAGGTGCAGATGCAGGTGACACAGTAGGAGTGACCGCATTCCAGGGAGTGCGGCTTCACAAGTATCTCGCTGCAGATGGAGCACACCATCGCCGACCTGTACGCGGCGGCGTGCTGTCTCAGCCGCTCTGTGGGGTAGAGGTACATGGGAGAGGCGGATAAGATAATAGGTGAAGAAAAGGAGACTTACTATCGAGTGTACTAGCACCTGTGCGGATTGCTTCCAACTCTCTGACCATTGAAACTGCGGACGTCAAGAATACCGTCCTAGAAAGGTTTATCACACATACTTATGGGGTTATGTGTGCCGAAATCCACGAAGAAGGAGAGGTTAGTAGCATATTACTGAAATAATGCCAGCGATTCAAATGCCAAAGCCATTGATGACAATGAGAAGTTATGGCTCACGATGCGACATTTAATAGTTACTTGGGCATGCAGACAGCTCGCCATTGCATTGTTCCGGTGTACCGGAACTTCGCTTCACAAACTTGTACACACAGCGGTATGCACATGAATATAGACATCTATGTTCGGCGAAATCAGGCAGACGTAAATACGAGAATACACACATCGGACTGTCTGAGCTGACTGAAACAGGTCTTAATATTTCATATTCCCGAGTACTTAGATTTGAAACGTGTCCTGCACGAAGGTCTTGTAGCAATATGTTGGGTCCAAAAATTAATACAAACGTGTTGCTTGCCAAATTATCCCGAACGCGTGCAATTCATAAGGTACAGGGTTCAATCGATGGTATGTATAAATTGAGCCAGAAGTGTATAATCATATGACAGTCCTTTGTGATAGACGCGGATATCAAATAAGCACTATGAATACACAAGAATCAACCGGAGCAGCACATGTGATTCTGACAGTAGACAACATTTGATCACGCCACATTGTACGGGAATAGCGTGAACTAATTTTCTTCCCACTACGTTAACAATATCTCAGTTGTCATTCTTTCAAACAACCTGAACACCGTCCATCGGTTTCACATGCCAACAAAGCGACAACTACACACAACAAAATGGTTCCACAAGCATGTCAATAGACCACCAATCAAGCACACAACTATAAACCACTAATATTACACATATCTATGAATCAGGCGTGTGCATATTAACTGACCACCAATGTTATTCATACCTTTAAATCTCCAGTCATGCATATATAAATGCCACTAATCATCACGTGTATATAGCTCACGAACTATGTATAAAACTACAAACCACCAATGTTATACATATCTATGGATCATCAGTCATGTACATGTTAATTGAACACCAATCATCACGTGCATATAGCCAACGAACTGTGTATCAAACTACGCACCACCAATATTACACATATCTATTGATCACTATAAAATCCCAGTCATGTACATACTAACTGACCACCAATCATCACGTATATATAGGCCACGAACTACGTATAAAACTATAAACCACTAATATTATACATATCTATGAATCACCAGTCATGTACATATTAATTTAAAACTTTTCATCACGTATCTATAGACTACCAATCAAGTATATAACTATGAACTACCAATATTATAAATATCTATGAATCATGTACATATGATTTACTAATATACTTGACGTATTTATAGACTACCAATCAAACTACAAACGACCAATATTGTACAATTTATGAATCGCCAGTCATGTGCATATTAGTAATTAATTTACCACTATTCATCACGTATCCATAAACTACCGATCATCATGTATATAACCATAAATTACATACCTATGAATCACCAGTCATGTACAACCACTAACGATCACGTCTCAATAGACCACCAAATATCTGGAAACGACCAATCAATACGTTTTTATAAACCACCCATGATATACACTTTTATAAATGACCAATATTTACGTACCTATAGACCACCCATGATAAACATATCTATAAACCACCAATCATGCACATGCCTATAGACCATCAACCACATGCATAGCTATAAACCAACAAAAATAAACATACATACCAATAGTTGCCTCCGGAGGTTCATTGTCCGTACTGTCTGCCTGGGCAGTGGAAGCGCTGCCTGATTCATCAGAAGCCATATACTCAGCAGAAGCAGATGCAGAAGCAGATGCAAAAGCAGAAGCAGGTGTTTCCTCGGTTTTCACGGCTTCTTCGGTGTCCATGTGGTCACCCTCTCCCGTATTCTCGCTCTTCACACTGTGCGGCACTATTTCATCTTCAACATTGCTTGGTGCAACATCCTCTGACTTTACGCTTTCATCTGTATTTACAGTGTCCCCAGTATATTCTGACTTCACACCGGATGTTTCTTCTGGTACATCCTCGGTCTTCACCGTACCAGCTTCCTCGGCAATTTCTATCTCAAATCCCTCTGCTGCGGCATCTTCTTTGATACCACTCTGTGCTAGGTCCTCTTCAGTGTCCGCAACATCTGGCAAAGTGCCTTCGACTTTAACTCCACTTAATGAACCATCCTCGACCTTAACACCGCTTACACTGGTAGCTTCTTCAACTTTCACACCAGCCTGTTCACTTTCGCTTGTACTTCCTTCTATGCCTGTGGTAGTCGCTTCAGTTTTTATGCCACTTGCAAGAGTGTCTTCGACCGGAGTTCCCGCTGTTCCAACCTCTACAGGATCAGTTTTTACATTAGCTTGTGTATGTACATTTAAGCTGTCTTCTGTACTCACATCCGTATTGTCAACCGATTCAATCCGCGCACGCTTAATCGTTGATTTATCTTCCCCTGGCAGTGCCTCTGCAGGTTCTTGCGCTACATCACTAGGTATATGATGTGTACCTTCAATATCGGCAGCTGTTTCAGACTTGATTGCCTCAGATCTTGCCTCGATGTCGTCGTGGGTACGTTTGGAGGACATATTGTCCTGTCTGTCGTCCATGTTGAACTACAGTAAATCACACTTCTGGGCGGAGAACTGTCTAATTAATATAAAATATATTTATTTATTATGTTACTATGTGAATGGAATAGAAAGCTAGTCTATGACTATTTATATGATTTCTGTAAATACATATTTGCTGTCTGTAGTCCTGTAGAACATTTACATATTTATTTATAGAAAGCCACAGCTATACCGTCTGTAGAAACATTTATTATTAGAATGCCACAGTTTTACCGTGACACTATCCGTGTCAGACTGTCAGACTGTCAGCCTGTCGGCCCTCGGCACTCAGCCATGGCCCCCTGGCCCATAGCCGGTGAGAGACTGTGATTGTGTCTATTCAAAAGTTTAGAAATATTGTGGCAGTTCAATTTATGAGAGTTCGAGAGTGCAGAGTGCATACTGCAGTACACTTGTGATTATTTTATTTTTAGAAACAAGTGTATTGTGTATGTATGTACTTAAATATGTAAATATTTTCATACATAAATTACATATGTATTTACAGTAAATATTGTAAATAGCATATTTATGTATAATAGTCAGCATTCAGCAACTCAGCATAGCCACTATTTTTTTTAAATAAAAATGAAAATACATCAGAGGCATAGGGAGTAAATGGTAAATAAAATGCATGCAAATAGTTTCATAGCCCTCTGAAAATTACACAAGCCAAACTGTAGAAATACGGCCTCCGG